CTCAATATGAAAGTTGATTAATGAATAAAATAGATAACAACAACAACAACAGCAACAACGAAACAAGTACTAAACTAGATGACTCTATCATAGTTACTCATAGTAGTTCAGGATATGAACTATTATATAAACTATATTTAAAATTAATATTATTATTATTATTGTTACTAAGCATATTTAGAGGGGGGGAGAAGGTTCAATTCATAATGTGGTGGTGAACTATTGAAATATCTTAAATCGTTATTGATTTTGGGATAATAGAAATGATTTATAGAATAAATGAATGATTTTGATAAAGTTTTATTCATTGAACTAGATGATTTATGCTGATGATGTTGTTTAGAATAGTGATGAAACCTTTAGGATTTCATTAAAAGTTATCGATTTTATTTATACTTTCATGAAAGTAATGAGTATGTTTTTTGGTACGACGTGTTAACAACAAGTTAATAACTAAGTGAATTGTGATTGAGATGTCTAAGGACAATTCATTCCTGTGTTCGATCCTTTACTGAGATCATAGGTATGTTTATTTTTAAGCAGTCTTATAATTAGATATAATAGCAATTAGGTACTACCCAGTTTTCTATGGTATTTCAAGTATCATCAGTTCATGATTGAGATATCCCATTCATTGATATTATTAATCAGTTGATGAAGTAGTGAAACTTCATCAGTTGAGATGGCTGGGATACGTGTTACGTATGACTAACCACCGATTGCCCCGACTTGCGATGTTCAATGGTATAGGAGTAGATTGGAAGGAAGAAAGAGGCGACCAAACCAGAACATGGCAGAAGTCCATGAAGTCACTGACAAGTGGATTGAGCCATGTTGGTAGGTGTAAACTACGTGGTTGGGATCCGCCAGATGATAGCAACCGATGGTTAGAGACCCTGAATGACATGGCTCAAAATCGTTTGTAATGGCGCAGGTTCATCCACTCTTTATGTTCTCCCAAATTCTAATCTTCTCTTTCCAAATTCCTTTCACTGGATTATACTCATTGAATAACATCTTCAAACCCTAATATTTTCGATTACTGCTTATACTCTTACTACCTCTATCATCATGATATTTGAATTGACAATCGTGTCACTGTGTTAATGTGGTACGGCAACTCTAACTGATGTACATACGTACGAAGTTCTGCGTTGTTACTGACTGACTGACGACTGTTCACTATCAAACAGTATAATTGAGAATCTGTAGGAACGTGTCATTTCAGTAATAATACACATGATATAAATCTTTGTTTATTACTTATAATACATTCATTCATATTACTGATAAACTGAATTTAGAAAACTTGATTGTACGTATGATTCCAGTAAGATTTGAAATACTGATAATGTTCTCAGGACATCTAAGCGCTGTTTCAAACGATAAATGATAACCGAGTTATGATGTAAATGTCTTATTAGAACTTTCGTGATATTTTAAAGTAAGGTAACTTTTATACACACTGGAAATTGTAAACATAAAAATTTGATTAAACTAAGTATTATTATTATTATTTAAGCACATAAACATTGGTACAATGAGGCACCAAATAGATATGCACCACATAAATTATTCGATTTGTTACTTTCCAGGTGACTAAACTGAAGCAGGTAGTTTTCCTAGGAGGGGGGGGCACACCCGGAACATTCAACCTAAATGTCTGATCCACAAAGCAATGATAACCAGTGACAAATAATTGGTTCATACACCATTTGTTCCTTCAGAATACTGGAGCCTATGTACACCATTGATTTGGAATCAATGTTTTCCAAATCCCTTAGATAAACTCTCCGTGTCCATTAACTTCCTCGCCGCAAGAAGGCAGTGTTCACATAAATTCCCTATCTATGAAAGAATAACTACTCCTTACCATTTAGCTTATTATTTTCAAGTTACACTGAATCTCAATTCAATAATCTATTAGATGAATGACAGATTGATTAGAAGAAAAACATATTCTTTAATAATAAAATATAATATGTGTTTAGTGGATATTATAGAAATTTCAATGGTTAAGATCATGGGTCAGTTGAAGCTAAACCAACATGGGTCACGTGGAAGCACTTGATGGCCGTTTCGTCCTATTGTTGGACTCCCCAGCATTTCGCATCAACGACCTCGTCACCTACAAGATTCGAACCCAGGATCTACTAGTCTCGCGCGCGAGCATTAAACCACTAGACCACCGAGTCGGCTGGCATCCAACGGTGTTAATGTCTAACTTCAACTAATCCACGAAATTGGGCGACACATCCACCATTGTCTTCAGTGAGTTACTATCTCACAACAGACCTGGTTGAAGTCCACTGATCACTACTTCTCACTAGAACTCCAGGATATACCTCTTGAAGCTAGTTAATAAGTCTTGTCGATTGAACGCTATATTCGTTTCTCAAGTTATTCTGGTAACCCACAAGCCAGAACTACACAGCCACCTGAACAACAGAGAGAAGACGCAAAGTATGAGAGAAACACTTTACTCCAAGGTTCGTTCTTGTACAGAAAATCATGGGTATTTATAGATGTTAGCGTTTGTTAAATCAACATCATATTTCGGCCAATCCGTTAACGACATATTATGCTACTGACCATTAGTAACACGCCATGTTGGAATTCTAGAATACTCCATCATGTTCTGATTGGCTAGGGCTCTCAGCTCCTTTTGAACCTCTGGAGGCTCCGTTGAAGTTCTCTGAAAGCCGACTCAACACTAGTCACTAGTGAGCACATGTTTCTAGCTTCAACTGACTTAACACAACAACAAAAAAACGAAGAAAAATTTTTTCTTCAATTAAGTAGTTTGTTTGTTTTCGTTTTCATTTTTTTAGGTGAATGTTGATTGAATTTGACAAGTTGAAATGATAATTAATATCCTTTAATACTTTATTATTAGTGACTAAACTGAGTTATATATATGCATATATACAAACAATATAGGTCAAGTTATAAATTACTCTGAATTATCAGTAGTTTAGTTTGTTTTTTTCGAAAAGAGATTTAGTAGAGATTCATTCAATTTGTAGGTTATTTAATAAGATTATAATTTATGGACAACATTTGAGAGAGTCTAAAATGACTTTGAAAGGGTCTATCTAATATAACTAAGATCAAATGAGGGTTATAAACCAGTGTGTGAGGAATTAAAATTATGATTTACAGTTGATGATTAAGGTTAGCAATTAGATCTACGGAGGTTTTTATCACGAACTAATATCAGCTATAATGCCAAAACTCTATCTATCCAAATGGATGAATGAAATTATCTTACATCTGATTGGTTTGTCCATAAATTATAGTCTCGCCGGTTGTTTTAGTCAGATATTGATCCAACTTGGGGTATTATTGAAAATCATGAAGTATTGGACAATTGTTTCATTCTAGTATATAACTCTTAGCCAATGCTTATGCAACAACTCTGTCAAAGGTTTTACTCAGGAACTTCAGTTACCATAGACGAAGTTTAATCAGTTTGACCGTATTCTATTTGATCGATTTGTGACTCCTAATGCTACTGTTACTACTACTCTTACTACTACTACTACTACCACGAAGGAATTTCGTACTTATCATTAAGCAAACACAATATTCTTTATTTGAGGTGGTTTGTTTGATGAATATTAATTTGATTTGTATGTGGTCTTTCTCATGAACAGATATCATTTGGGTTTACTAATCAAAGCCATGGAAATATAAACAGAACAGAAGAGTATCATTCAACACTTTGTATGTTTTTTTATTTCCCATAGGAACATGAATTCATATTAACAAGATTATGTATATTGCAGATGAATGATAATATTTGTTTTGATGACAAAACTTACTTACTTACGCCTGTTACTCCTCGTGAAGGAGCATAGGCCGCTCACCAGCATTCTCCATTCAACCCTGTCCTGGGCAATCCTTTCCAGCTCCTTCCAGTTGTTATTCATCCTTTTCATATCTGATTCTATTTCCCGACGTAATGTGTTCTTTGATCTTCCTCTTTTTTGCTTCCCTTCAGAACTCCAAGTTAGGGCTAGTTTCGTGATGCAGTTTGATGGTTTCCGTAATGTATATCCTATCCATTTACATTGACTTTTCCTAATTTCCTCTTCAGCTGAAAGCTGGTTTGTTCTCTCCCACAGAAGGCTATTGCTAATAGTATCCGACCAATAGATGTTGAGTATCTTGCGTAGACAACTATTTATAAATACTTGTACCTTCTTGATGATGGTTGTTGTAGTTCTCGAAGTTTCAGCTCCATACATACAGTAGAACTGCCTTGAAGTTCGTATTGAAGATTCTGACTTTGATATTGGTTGATGACAAAAGCAGATAATCAAATAATTCAGTTTATAAACAGAACTGGTTAATTAAAACAAGTTTGAAATAAATAGAAAGCTCGTTATAATATTCTCATATTTTAAAGATTAAGTATCCTAGATGGCGTAATTAATCTATGAAAATCTTAATTTAAAATGTCGGTTAAAAACAATGATGGATAGTGGATAGCAGTGGAATCCAGGATGCTCGTATCGTCTTATTTACGACTCGTCAGCTTGTGACTTAAGATAATATTGAAGCAGTCCCCACAGGATGCACATATGCCAACAAGTGACAGTGGAAAGATACAAGTAAATAATACCATGTGGATTCAAACTTCACCACATTGCCACAAGTGAGTAGCTATCAGGAATCATTCATCAAATGGATAATGCAATGGCGTTTGAAACGAACAGTGTTGGGTTCGAATCTCGGAGTGAACATCAACTCTAAGATGCAAGTACATCACTTTCTGGATTACCCTGCTAGTTAATATCCGTCTTTGCTTATAAAGCTTGGGAGTAAAGACAATATCGAGACAGTCCGCACAAGATACACACATACCAATAAGAGATTGATCAATTGTAGTGCTAAACCTCAATAGTAAGATCCAAGTGAATTTGATTTGAGAATTGATTAACTTTAATTCAAACAATTATATTCTTTTGTTTTTCATTATTTTGTTGACATTTTAGTTACTTCTTATCGGTGATTCATGTGTTGGCAAAACTTCATTATTAATCCGTTTTAAAGATGGTATATTCTTAAAGGGTAGTTATATTTCAACTGTTGGAATTGATTATAAGGTAAAGAAGTTCAATTTATTTTACTGTCATGATTACTGTTTTAAAATGGGTCTATATGTGTTAAAGAAGTAAATTAACATCAAGTAATTAATATTCAACAGTTGTCATGAAATGTCATGAGTATTGTGATTGACACCATCAATACTCATAACTGTAAACTAGAACTTCAAGAACTTTCCTTCTTTTCGTCCACAATGAAAGTCCATAATGAGCATATGATTATTAATAAACTATGTGCTTTCATAGACGTTTATCATTATTACTTACTTACTTACTTATTTACGCATGTTACTCCCAATCGAGCGTCCTATAACCCACTCTATTCTGAGCCTTTCTTTCTAGTTCTATTCAACTGTTGTTCATTCTTTTCATGTCTATCTCTATTTCTCGGCGTCATATATTCTTTAGTCTTCCTCTCTTCCTTTGGTTTTAAGAATTTCAAAGGAGAGTTTCACTTGTGACACAGTTGGCTGTTTTCCTCAATGTATGTTCTATCCACTTCCAGTGCTTCTTCCTGATTTCTTCCTCTGTTGAATTCTGGTTTGTTCTCTCCTACAGTAGGTTCTTGCTGATAATGTCTGATCAATGGATCCGAAATATTTCGCGTAGACAATTGTCTCCACCCCATACATTAGAACTGCCTTGACATTATTGTTATTATCTAGATGGAATCACATTTAATGCTGCATACATACATTGTACTACATTGAACTAATAATCCATTTCAATTTATAATAGACTTGTATTGAACAACATAATCTCATGAGAATAAACATAACCAGTTGATCAATGTATCATCATTTAATCTGATCATAATAAACTCTCAATTGAGTAAATACAACCCTTCTCCACCACCACCATCCCCCTCCCTCTGCAAAAAAAACAAACGAAGAGGCAAACTAGGCGAAATTCATAGAAAGCTCATCACCATCATCATATTCATCATCATCAAAAGAAGTCAGTAAACAGTCGAAAATGATAGTCCATTAAACTGTCACATTGATTGTTACATGTTAATTTATAATTATTTATCCTATCAATACAACACACATATGAAATCATATATATATATATATATTTTCTTCAAATTGTTGACACAAAACAATTTTGTGACCCGGTATCTAATTCCAGTTTGATTGTATGAATGGTTACTATGACAATATATATGTTGCCAATGCTTGTATATTATCATCGACTTAAATCGCATTAGGCACTGACATATGGATTGAGCCATGTTGGTAGGTGTAGACTACCTGGTTGGGATCCGCGAGATGATAGCAATCGATGGTTAGAGATATTGAATGACATGGCTTAAAATTGTTTTCAGTGGCACAGGTGCATCCACTCTTTGTGTTCTCCCAAATTCTAATCGTCTGAATTCTTTATGTCCATTCTTTTCTCTTTCGAAATTTATTTCACTGGATTATACATCTTGAATAAGATCTTCAAACTCTAATTTTTCTGGTTACTGCCTATACTTTTACTACCTCTACCACTATGGGATTTGAATCGACAATTGTATCTCTATGGTAATGTGGTATGGCAACTTGAACTGATGTACGTACGTACGAAGTTCTACGTTGTTGCTGACTGAGTGTATAACGGAATTAAATTAATCGTGAAAATACGAGAATGGATATTTGAAGATGTATATTTTGTACAATCGTTGATCGGAACAATACAATCAAAGTGACATAGCAAAGGAAGCGAAGACAAGAGAACGAAACAATATAGTGCGTAATCGAGATAGCACGTAAACGTAGGGTAAGATGTACATATATATAAATATATATATATATATATATATATATATACACTCAGTCAAGATTAACAAGGTCAGAACGTGATTCAAGAAGATCGATAAATTGGCCGATCCAAAAGCTAGAATAAGTTTTGTAGGCTTAACATAGTAACCGACACTAGAAATATACTTTGATATCATAATTATTACAATTTTCTTTTATAGCATCAGACAATTGAAATCAGCCAGACATTGAATCATTAAACTTCAAAGTTAGATTCACGAGTTCATCTAAGTTAAGACAACTACTGAAAGCTTAGAAGTCCCATACTAAGACGAAACATTTGTTCACTGCTTCATACTTTTTAATAATAGTCTAGATTAGATTAAATTGTGAATTCAACTTTGAAAATACTACCATTGATGGTTCACCCCTTGATTAGTCCTCTTTGAGCGGATATCTATATTGATATGTTAACTCTATTTTTTTTTAAAAATAATTACTAACAGTGAATTCAAAAAACAACATTACAGGTCGATAAGCAGATGCTTCATCCTAGTATATGACTCCTTCTTGGTGGTCATTCACAACCTCTTCATTAACAGAACCCTTGGAATTCAACACACAGGTGTTATTTAATGTATCACTGAACAACAGAAACTCTCCAATGCGGTAGATAGTCTGGTACATCCATCCTCTTTCATTGTTTCTCGTCATCTCATAACCGATCATTCTTTATAAGGCAATTACATGTTTCACATTAGTCTATTTACTTCACTAATGATTCGAAGACGATTTCTACATGTCTACCAAAGAAGAAGATAACACATAGTTACTCAAAATAGTTTCATTCTTCAGATTTACATAAAATCTATAATTGAATGTATTCAGTTGCTATATGCAATAGGTGCTAAGTACCATTCATATGTTTTATACAATAACAACATTTGTAATACTTATATATTAGAGGAGTGGTTTCAAGCGAAAAAAATCGCATTATTCGATACATTTTTAGCTTGTTATGGTTTGCATTGAATCTATCTCCATGGTAGACGGGCCCCAAATGCCCTAGTACGGCCGAGAGCGAGAAGAGTCCACTCTCCCTCTCCAAATGCTCTCACATGGGTACGCGTATATAGCCTCTGCCAAGGAAGTCCTACTCACCACCTTTCCACAGTATTACTGTTGTTTACGAAATTGAGAAGACGAAAAGCGAATGTCCGGCGCTTTAACCAGGTTGGTGGATACAGAGAGTCAACCAACGGGAGTTGGAAAACACTCATTTCAAACCAATGGTGTAAATGGGCTTCACGATCCTGTAGGAACAAATGGCGTATGAACTATTTGTTGGTCACTGGCTAGCATAGGACTGCTTCTCCTGACTTTGCTCCACTGCCTTGTGGATCAGACCTTCAGGTCGAAGGCTCCGGGTGTGGCTTCCTAAGAAAACTACCTGCTTCGGTTCGGGCACCCGGTCAGTATCATAGCCTTCACACATATCAAATGAGATTTGTGTGGCGCATATGTGTTTGATGCCTCTTTGTATCAATATGTATGTGCTAAAATCAATAAATCATAAATATCTCCATGGACATATATACATTCTGAATAGATTACTTGTATAGTACCGTTTAGTTTTTCTATGAAAACTGAATAGCTACTAATCAATCTTAATATTATAAGCTAATCTTCTTATCACTTATATTAAATAGTTTATTTCTATGTTTTATAGACAAAAACAGTAAAATCTAATGATCAATTAGTTCGTTTACAAATATGGGATACAGCTGGACAAGAGAAATTTCGTAGTTTAACAAAATCATATTATCGTGATACTAATGGTAAGTAATAATTTAATGTCAAGATTATAATTTGTGAATGAACTAATCAAATATAAGAAGATAAGTCTCGAATTTTGGCACGAAATTCATTCATCCATTTGAATAAATAGAGTTTTGGCATTATAAGTGATGTCATTTCAGAATGAAAACCCATCGAATCTAACTTCTAACACACTAACCATCAACTGTAAATGATAATTATAATTCCTCACACAGATTTATAACCCCCATTAGGTCTAGGTTATTAAGTGGGAAACAGCCGTTTCATTCTGAGTTCGAATCTCTCAAGGCGGAATCGTTGATGCATACTGCTGAGGAGTCCCATATTACAATGAATTGGTTGTCTAGTGCTTCCAGGTTTTTCATGATGGTCTAACTTCAATTGACTCATAAATTCAATTACATTAAATTACTATAATTTCCACAAAACTCTTGTCGGATTACATTATCTTTACTCCTTTTTCTTCTCAGTAATGATCATGCACATAGTACAAACTAATTTATTATTATTTTTTCAATATTATTCAGCTGTACTACTTGTATATGATATATGCAAAATGGATTCATTTAGTAATATAAAAGTAAGTCACTACTGTTATTTATAGTAATGAGTTTATTCAAGTTTTAATGAGAGGAATCATTTAATGGTTGTAGATAACAAAAGGTTTATTAAATGAAATAACTTTATTTGGTGAAGACTTTGATAAAATCTAACAGTAGAATCCAGGACTCCGGTTTCGTCCTAGTTGGGACTCGTCAGCTGGATATACCTACATCTCAGAGTTGATCTTCACTCAGGTTAGGGACTTGAATCCATTAACGTTCGCTTTAAACGCCATCGCGTTATCTTCTTAACTACTGAGTCCTTTTATAAAATCTAGTATCATTTAATTTCTTTCAGTTTCGAACATATTATTCTGCTTCAAGGTACAGTCTTAGCTACTGATAAAAAGTGTAGTTAAGCTCATCGACCAATTCACTTTCATTGAGAATCTTATCAACCATGGTTGTTTGATGTCCGACAAAATCTCAGCCCGAATTTGGTTGGATGTTGCCAATTTATGTCATTTACGGAATAGATAAAAGGTTCTTATTCTAAGCGGAAGAAGAATTACACTGCTAATGAGCTCGTCCAGTCTCACTTTATGATTGAAAAATGGCCTTCAGCAATTGAGGATATTCGTAAGTTACTATTACTTGGCTTTAGGTGTCTTAGAAGGTTTGTCTGTATGTGTTGGGTTCACTAAGTGATTGCTTGTGGGATAACTTATAATATATGACAACTAGGTTAAGAAAATAAATCTTCATTTACTGAACTGGCTAAGATATTTATTACTTATTCTTAACCCTGACCTAATTTCGAAGAGAGATGTTCACTGAAGCACTTAAGAACAAAGCTAGGGGCTATCAAACCCAAAGTATAGCATTAGTCCAGGAAGTTGTTGACTTTTGGAATGAGTAATATTGGTAGGTGAAAAGATCCTAATTTTCGTATGGTTGATTATCGTGATAAATCCTTAGAAACATTGGGTGACATATTTCAAAATCAATCACAATGATGTTGATGTATTCACTTTTTGTCTTTCCGTAGTTCTTTTTACATCTTTTATATATGAAATAACATACTAATCCTGATAAGTATTAATTATAGCAGTTGAATTCATGAGTCAATCTAGATTATACCACTATTGAATGGTCATTTCATCCTAGTATGGTATTCGTCAGTAGTGAGCTCAATGGTCTAGAGCTTAAGTATTCGCGCGCGAGATCGAAGGTCATTTGTTCGGGTCCCGTGTGTGGGATTGACCTAGTTTAGATCAATTCATGTATTCAACTATTAAACTTATTACAATCTACACAAATCCTTATTCTGATATTAATTCTAGCTTCAATGCATGTTATTATGTTTCTTTACTTCATTTCAATTTTTTATTCACAATCAGTTTCTCATATAAAATGTTTTATATGATCACATCGAAACATATTGCAGTCAGCTAACATGGGATTGAATTGGTTTTTGTTTTAACAGTGAATTTATTTAAGCAAAGATGGATGGTGGTTAGCAGTGGAATCCAGGACGCGTTTCGTCCTGTTTAGGACTCGTCAGCTGAATGTATCTGCATTTATTTGTTCTTGTTATATCCGTTTTGTCTCTGGTAGATTCACAGTACTACTGCTTATACTTGACAATGGGGAATCACTATATTTTCGATGACACGAAATGATAGTTTAGAATCCTGATCTAAAAAAATAAAGATCTTTTATCTTTATGAAAGCACTTCTTTGAAATAATTCATTCAAAATAGTTTAATAGTTTGATCATGGAGCATTCATTGTTCTTTTGAACGACATCATCAGCACAGACTTAGATGCTGATGATGTCGTTCACAATGAGAGCTCCACACGATTAAACCATTCAGCTCAGAGAACAAAACTCCATTAAAATCATCCACTTGAGCTACAAATCTTCTCCACCATGTTAAACACTCATTTGAGTTGCACCAGAAATGAGAATAGTACCTTTCTTTTTGGAAACAATAATTTTATCGGGATTGTTTATATCGAATAATAACAAAAAAAGTGATAACCAATGTATGATTTTAGTTATAACCACTACTATAAGACTCAAAGAATTCATTCATTATTTATCTGGAAATTCTTGTTTTAATCCAATTCACTGGGTATTTCACGATTATATAACCGATTGGAGTATTATGAGATATCAGTATGGGTTGGTGTACATTGTTAAGTTTCTTGATTGAGATCATGAACCAATAGACCTGAAACCACCATTGAAAATCCGGAAGCACTGGACGGATGTTTCGTCCTAGTATAAAACTCCTCAGCAGTTCTCATCCACGATCCCATAAGCGGAATTTGAACCTAGGACCTTTGGTTTTGCTCGCAAACACATAACCTCTAAACCTCTGAGTTGGCACCCAACAGTATGAAGTCTGTTTAATAAATAACCAACCTGAGGTTAAAATACTTCTTGGTTTAACTGTAGAGTAAATCAGTTTTAACTACTTCAAAATATACCGCATTTGTGCTGATATACTTTTAACATATCTTTATTGTCAGGAGTTTTGTGGAGATTTTAGTAATTTTAATGGTTGAAATCATGAATCAATTGAAGCTAGGTCACCATGGAAAACCTCGAAGCACTGGACGGCCGTTTCATCCCAGTATGTGACTCCTCAGTAGTGCGCATTCACGATCCCGCCCCCTGCGAGTTTCGAACGCAGGACCTATCAGTCGGCGTCCAACGGTGTTACTGTCTAACCTTATTGTTCGAAAATTTCCCAGAAATTCTCAGATATCATGCCTTTCTATGAAATATCATTTTACATTTTATGATTTATACATCGTTCAAATTTTAATCTCACTTGATTGATCATTCTAGGAACAAGAAGAATTTACAATTGACTAAGTTTGATGTGTACGAATGATAACCTTGTGTAATGATTGTAGTTAACAACTATGCAGCTTTAGTTAATCATCAGCAGCATATAGGCATCCAACTACGGTCAAATTAACGGAACTTTGATCGTTCAGTTCACGTATTCGTTAGATTGACACTGTAAGTTCTTCTTCTTCTTCACAAGATGAATAACAGTTAATCCACACTGAATTCCTTAACAACTCCAATGAGACTGAGTCCATGTTTCCCAAGCATCTCACTTTTGCCAAACATATATATATGCATTTATTAGTATAGGGAATTCGTGGGGGTTGTAGTATTTTGCACTTCAGAATCACGGACTGATCATAGCCAAACCAACATTGAAAACCTCGTTTCAGTGTGGGAATTCTCAGCAGTGTGCGCACATGACTACGCAAGCGAGAACGTTTTTTGACTTCAACAATGAAAATACTATAATCTCCACAAGTTCCTTATACTAATAACAACCATGTGCTCACTAGTGAGAAACCGTAACTAGTGGAGTTCAATACATGTTTGATGCGAAACAGTTGTTCACTGCAAGGAATCTTTGAAGGGTTGAGTAAGATAATGGATTGATTGAATTTAGATATTAACACCAATGAATGCCGACTTACTGGTCTACAGATTAAAATTTGACGCACAAAATCGAAATTTCTGCGTCTGATTCCCGATTTCATGGTTGTGGATGCGCATTTCTGATAAGTCTCATACTAGAACAAAACGGCCATCATTGATTTCAGATTTCAACTGTGACAATTCATATTTGTCTGTTATTAAGCAATTGAATACAATCACTGAAAAGACACTTTATTGACTTCAATTTCACTTTAGTTTCCAGTCATCAGAAAAATACACCTATATTCCTGTATAAACTGTTGTCGACAAGAATATAATTTATAGACGGACCAAACACCTATAAGATAACAAAACTCAAATTTCGGTGCGATATCTGATTTCTAACCTTAACCATCAACTATAAATCATAATTTAGATACCTTACACTGATTTGTAACATTCATTTGGTCCTTGTTATTAATTGGACACTCTCAAGATCAATCTAACGTTTCTCAAAGGTCGTCTCACCCTGATGTCTTCGATAAGATTTAAATCGACCTCATGTAGAGCTGAATTCACAGACATTCTCATCGATCTATATAGTTACCAAGCTTATGAAACTAAAGGTCCCAATTTCGATAAGTTCACTTCAAAGCCTATAAATTTATTCATATACATCGAAAGAAATAATTTATTGCTTTTTAAAATTGTTAAATGTCACGTTTTATTCTTTGAAATTAGTTTCTTTTTTTGTTGTTTTTTTTTTCTGCAAAAGAACAAAAAGTGTAAACCGTTATTGGGAAATTTTTTTTTATTCTTTGTCTCTGTGTGTGTCTCCTACTCTCCCCCACCCTCTCTCTCTCTTTTTTTCATTGTTTCTCCCTATAAAATGGGTTATTGCATAAATAATACAGTGGAATTGTCAAATGAGTTATGAAGACATGGCAGCAAGACTAGAATTGTTGAATGAACCAATCAGATTTAAGATAATGGTTTTTTTTAATATTTTGGCGCGAAATTCATTCATTCATTTAGATAAATAGAGTTTTGGCATTATAGTTCATGTCAGTTGATGATGAAAATCCTGAATCTAATTTCTTACATTGATTTCTAACCTTCATTTGGTCGTAGTCATTAGTTGGACACTCCCAAGGTTAGTCTAACGTTGTTCAAATAATCATCCATAAATTATAGTCTCACAGAAATAACACTTCAGCTATTCATAATACTCAGTATGTCTTTAAATTATAATCAGTTGAAGCTCTAAGTAAATTCATCTTTAGAATATATACTCAAATCAGTGATTTTAGTTTCATTCGAATAATTAATACAGAGAGAAAGATCCTGATGATTATGAGTTTGCGTGTGAACATTAACACTGATTTACTTACTTACTTACTTACTTACGCCCGTTACTCCTCGTGAAGGAGCATAGGCCGCTCACCAGCATTCTCCATCCAACCCTGTCCTGGGCAATCCTTTCTAGCTCCGTCCAGTTGTTATTCATCCTTTTCATATCTGCTGTTTCCCGACTTAATGTGTTATTCGGCCTTCCTCTTCTCCGTTTCCCTTCAGCATTCC